CGGGAGGCGGAGGCTGCGGGGCCGGAGCGCGGCCCGGGAGCCTGAAGGGGGAAAACCGACACTAAAAGCTGCGGGGAGTGCGAGGGTGTCAATTTTCGGCCCTGGGCGCCGCTTCGTGCAGCGGGAAATCCCTGTTCAAACCGCACAGGGAAGGCGCAGCAATTGGGAAGGTGTCAGTTTTCCCAAAAAGTAACTTTATTTTTTCACCATTTCTTTTTCCTTTACCCTCTCACGTGTTCTCAGAGTTGTGCACTTACTTCCTAGGCGCGTGATCGCATTTTCAAAACAATTCGGAGGTAACCGGGAAACGCACAAAATAAAAACACGTTTTTCATTTGAAAAAGTCCATCTAAAAGATGAATTATAAGAGAAAAATCCCCTTAAGCAAAAAAACTATTGTCTACTGAAAAACTCCAGATCCTCCCTTCAGAAACATTTATTTCATCTTCCTCAGCTTCCAGAGAAAGAAAGAAAATTACCAGTAACAGAAATTAATATATTCTGAACACATTTAGTACTTGTTATTACCGGATGTAAATAAGTAAATAAGCTTGCTGACTGACAACTGTTTTGATACCTGATTGCTTGGTGGAATCATTAATTTTGTACCAGTGTCCATCACCTGGTCTGCAAATAAAGACAATGAAATGCATCTTTTCCCAATGAGATCTCCAATACAACACTACACAACAAAAACCCCTAAACCAAGCAGATGATATTTTCTTTTATCCTAAAAACAGTAGTTACCATGTAGATTTTAATTTATTTGTCAGCACTGGCTTTACCCTGTTACAATTCCAGCTGGTATCTACCTTTAGGCAGGAGATGGTGTCCTGCCTTGGAGCTGAAGCCTTTCGTTAAGTAACTGCGTATAATCCGTGCATCAAGTGGTTCTCCTCTTGACTGGGACGTATTTGCCTGAAGACCCAAACTTTCAGGATGTTTTCCCACCTCAGGGCAGATCACAAAGATTTAAAAAATACCCTGAAAGCCTTCACAGAAAAGCCTGAGAAAAACACTTCTAAAAAACAGACTACGGTTTTACGAGTTGATTTTTTGTGCGCTCGTTAACATGCAAACATGAGCCATATTTAATCAATTACGTTGTGCAGACTCTTCTCTTCGGAATTCACACGTAAACTTTATAATTATTCAAAAAGTAACTGTCATAGCTGTTCCCCTCAGTTTTCCTGACTTCCCTGCGCGGGCAGCGCGCGCACACACAGGGGGGGCGGCGGCTGGAAACCCG